TATTAAGAGTTAAGACTATAATTAAAATTTCTCGCATTTTATCCCTAAAGCCGATACATTACAAGAAGTGAAACTACCCGTCATATCGACTGAGGAGTGCCGCAAACGAACCCTATTTTTACCACTATATAAGATCACTGATAATATGTTTTGCGCCGGTTATGACAGAGGGGGTAGGGATGCCTGTCTGGTGAGAGAAATTGCATACATAATTAAAACATGAAAAATAATTAGCGAATAATTAAAATAAATGCTAATTTCACTGTTAATGACTCGAAAGGGCGATTCCGGGGGACCTCTGATGTGCCAGAAGAGGAACGGCAAATGGTTTCTGTTGGGAGTGACCAGTAATGGTGACGGCTGTGGTCGAGCCGGTCGTCCCGGTGTATACACTAAAGTTGCCAAATATATGGATTGGATCGACAATGTTATAAGTGAGTGCTAATGACACTAAACAAAAACAACAATATGGTTAATTGCTGTGTATAATAACCATAATGTTTCATTAATATTTTTCATGTGAATTTGTGTGTCGTTTTGATGACTAGACGGCGAGTTAGAGCCAGAGCTGAGCCGGTCGTGCGATGGCCTCCGATGTCCTTTAGGTCGATGTCTGCGAAAAGAGCACATTTGTAACGGTGTTATGGACTGCAGAGACGCTTCCGATGAGCAAAACTGTATGGATTTCGGCAAAAGAAAGTCTGTTATAAGTTATAACAAAGCGAATGAAACCCATTCTTAAACGATAAAGTTTAGGGCAATTTGTTTGAGAAATTTTAAATTATAGGAATTTTTATACGTGAAAAAACACACACTTTTTCTATGGTCACAATTCATCCCCCAAAACATTATGTAAATTATTTTGCGCTTAATTTAATGTTCACATCATTTTAAATCATTAGATATTTTATATTTAAGTAAAATTTATTTTTATGATGAAAAAGTCGCTGAAAATTGTAATGTATTTTTTCACTGCATTTAATTAACTTTTTTTAAATAAATAATTTTTTAGCCAAACGTTGCGTAAACTCCTAATGAGAAGAGTACTCCTGTTTTTGAAGTTAATTTGAAAATTGGTCTCAAAATTAAATATTATATAATAAGACAAAAAATTGTTGTAACTTTTTATTCATTTGAAAGTCATTTCCTCTTTGAAAAAACACAAAACAAAACACAATTTTTAATGTTTTTCACAAAAGAAGATTAGTTGTGGATATTATTTTTGTGGTGAAGGATTCGCCCATTGGATCCCTGGGCTGGACGTGTCTGTCGTTCAAAGTGTACGGTAAGGACAGGTTAGGGCTACTGCTGTCATATTCATCAAACATTTTTCTTATGTAATGATTATAAGTTTTGCGAAAATGTATTTTTTCTATCATAAAGTGGTTATTATTATTCAAAGTCATTCGTCGTCTTCACTCAAACTTCTTTATTATTTCTGTTATTTTTTTTTAGTTTCTTTACAAACGATTCGTTGTCTCAAGAATTTAATATTAAACGGCTATTTGAAAGTCATTTAGTTTTTGACTGCGAGTACTTTCAAACATCATATTTATATCCAAACTATAACTTCACTATTAATAGGGAAATAATAGTCGGCCTCTCATTTGAAGGTCTTTTGCAAATAGACTCAAAATTGATGGTAATGTCGATCCAAATATGTAATCATCGCTTGAATATGATGTTTGCATAAAACGATTTGTTAAATAGTTTCACCGCTAATATAATATACAAGAAACTCCTTTCGTATACTTTTATATGGTGTACAGTAATGGATATCATCCACGGAATTCATTTCAAGGCTTATTATAAAGTCCTGTATTAAAAACAGGCATAAAATATACCACAAAATTTGAATAAAATTTGAATTAACAATTAATTTTATAATTAAAAAAACAAACAACAAATTAAAAAGAGATAGTTTTAAGCGATAGTTTGTATGCAAATCTCGTGACTCCTATGATATGCATAGAAGGCTGCGATTGCCATATGTAGAGGTTGTGAGACATTTAAATAATATTATTTACACTTTTATAAAAAAATAAGTGATAATTAGTTTTAATGAATGAATGTAATGAATACTTCAATCGGTTTATTGACATTAATGGTCTGCAAAACAAATTGAATTGTCCTAGGGCTCAAATAATTTCAATTTTAACAGCAAACATATTAATGTAATGGAATTTTAATGACCATAAATTTTAATTATTATTTAGGAAGGGAATTGATTTTATCAGATACTGTATTATGCAAATAAAAGTACTTTTATTTTTAAATTCCTGTTATCTAAACAATACTGTAAAACACGTTTCATGTGTTATCTATAAAATTAATTTTTAAATATTAATTTTCCAAATATTTAATTCAAAATTTTATTAACAAAAATAATTGTGGATTAACATTTAATAAAAAAGTAATTTATTTTCAATGCTAATTATTGTTTATGATATAATATTATTTCATTGATCAAATATAACAACATGATACTTTCATATCAAATATTATACATTTCAAATTAAATTCATGGTGTGTGACAACATTGCTGTTGATACAACATTTTTATTGTAATTTATATTGTAATGAGTTAAATTACATGATTACACCTTGTTTATTTTAAATACCCTGTTGTAGTCGAAAACTTTAATCAATGTTTGTATTTGTTTTACAACTTTTTCTTCTTCAACTCGTCTGTTGAGTAATGTCTGCAGAAAATCAGGAAATAATAATAGACTCGAGTCTTGAGTTTATTCACTGTATGTTTAGATATTATAAATGATAGGAAAAGTCTGAACTCAAAGCCAAAACAAATGCTAGAATTAATTACTTTATTGTCTATTGTTTTGATTGCTTTCTTCCGAAAACTCTTATTTCTATTAAAAGTTATTGTTTTTCATTATGTCTTGTCGTTGAGAACAATGCTTTGTATCGATCGGTCACTTCTGCAGTGATATCACCGCTTGTTTAAAGATTAATCGCTTGACATCGACCACAAACCAAACACTTATCATATGTAAATCAATTCAAATAGATATAAACAGTACAATACTGTGTATATTGTGTCCAACAGTACAATTCAATTAAATGATCAAATGTTAAACACATTTCAATTCATTGTATTAAAACTTAGACTATCCTTAAGATTATTCCTAGTATTTTGCTATTTAAACATTATATTAGTGTCCAAAAATAAAAACATAATTTAATTTAAAGAATAATAATCAAAATGTAATATTATTATTGCATTTCATAACTAAAAATATCGTTTCATATAAATTATTTAAAGTTATATAAATCTATAAAATAGTCATATAAAGTGTTTATTTAGCAGTATTTCAAATTATTTGACCAAAAAGTGATGTTTCGGAGATATATCACAAAATATGCGATAAACGAGGAAATTATTGAAAATGCATGTAGGTGTAATTAAGATCTGATTAAGGTCTATTCAAAATGTAATGATGCTATTCTCAATCAAGAGTAGAGTATTGATTGTAACGTTATGTTTGACGTCAATGTATGAAAAGTAACAAAACTTCTGATTAATTCTTAATTGAGACCTAAATGTGAATCTTTCAGAAAAGGGAAACCAGTTATTGAGCCATAAATCCGAACAATCATTCATTAGACAAATGAAGAAAACAAAAATTTCCTGAAATATTATTAAATAAATTGAGGCAAAAGTTAATATTTCGTAAATCATTTTTATTAATGTTTATTTTTAATAAAAACAAATATATAAAAGTTTCAAAAATATAAGTCATTTGAATTTCTAATCAATACATTTAATTAAGACTTTTGTCGTTGCTTTGCGGCGACGGCTGCAATAAACGCGGATCCCTTACCGCTTCCGTCTTCGGCTAAGAATAACTCAAACTTTCTGTTGGGAATCAATTCGCTGATGAAATCAGTCATCAATTTATGAAGTTTTGGGTGTTTTTTATATAGCGAACCGTCAATTGCTATTCTAACCATTGGTTTATCAATGCGTTGGACAACCGCTGAGAGATCTAAACGATTGGTAAACACATCGTATAAAAAGGGATAATAAGAAACAGCAATTAAATAACGTAAAAATAGTACAGTATATAAAAATAACTATAATAATAATGATAATAATAAAGGACTACTGACTGGCGGCGGCTAACTGTGCGTTACGGACACCGATCAGAGCGCAGACATATCTAACGATCTCAATGTCATCTTTGGTTATCTGTTGTGAAGAATATCCCAATCTCTGCAACAATGCTATGACTGAACCATCAGTTT